AGACGAGTTGTTGAGAAAGAAAAAATACACAAAATGAGATATACTAAATTAAAATCGGTTAATAAACAAAAAAGTTATTGCATAATAACCAAGTAAAACGGCTGTTTTTGATTATTGTTAATAACTCTTTTAGTAATCAATAAAATTTATTTAAATGTATCTGAACTTAAAGATCTCATCGTGTTCGAAGTGTGTGCGAAAAATAGGCTAGATCCGTCAAATAGTTTTTGCACAATTTAATTTGTTTATAAGATTTTTTGAAAAATGCACAAATTTCTAAGGCCGGTCCAGATAATTTGACTGAATGGATCTTAATAATCCGGGGCTTATTTTCTTCGATGAGACATATATTATTATCTTGTGGAAAAAAAATTTAAAAAAAAATACGTTTATGTACACAAAATGATTTATTAATAAATAGCACATTTTAAGTTTATAAACATTTACAATAACTCCGTACTATTTAGTTTAAATTAAATGGCAATAAAATATTCGGAAGGCGGGTTTAAAAAACAACAACTTTAAAAAAAAAAGGTCCTGCGACCATTAGGAGCCGAATAAGTCCTTTTTTTTTTAAATCACTGTTACGTCAATTAACAACATTAAGGGCTGAAATTAACCAATCTTTTAGAAGAAAAGTCAAAGTTATTCTCAAAATGTTTAGCAAAAAAAATAATTGAAAATTGTTTAAACAGGAGTGTTGTAAACGAAGAGTACTTTGCGTTCCGACTAGAATGGAAGGAGTGGGGAATGCCGATTGCACACAAGCCGCGCTCTCCAAAAAAGTCAAGCGCACGGTTTCAAAATAGATTGCTTGGAAAAAAATGACATATCTCGGGTTCTAGTGGACCAAATTTGTTCTTTTTTTTTAAACTGGGGTACAACGTTAAAATAATAACATTTAACGTACTTTCATTGCAAAATTATTCAAAACAAAGCAGCTAATGACTACGGAATGTACAAACTTTTTCTTGAGTCGTCTTTTTATTGTTATTTTTCTATTTATTTATTTCAAATATGATTATATTAAATAACTGTTATAAGTAAATAAACATTTTGAATAATGTTTACTAAAAATTTATTAATGAAATAATAAATTAATTTTATGTTATTACAGAAGTTGAAATTTTGTGTAGTGATTTTTTAAAATAATTTAATTTACTGTAATTTTCTACGCTTAATTTCTATATCGTCACTGCTACTACTATGTAAACATTCATCTTCACTTTCATCTTCAATTTCACTTGTATTATAACTTTCATAAATCATTTCATTTTCATTGTCGCTATTCTCATCAAACCCAGTTAAATACATTTCATCAATTATCTCTTGTTCATCTGTTGTATCGTTTTCTTCTTCATTAATAATTTCATAAATATTAGTACATTATAATAGTAAAATAATATTATATTCAAAGTTAACCGTATATTATTCAGACAACGTGGTACAACCATGTGTTTATATTAATATATATCAGAACACGTAGTTTTTTTTAATATTCAGATGAATTTTACGTACCATTAATTATTTGTAACAATTATTAAATAAAACAAAACACTAAATATTTCAATACAACAAACCGGTTGTATAGTCGCAGGAAAATGAGTTGTACCGCTTTCGACGTGCGCTCGACGCTCGACTTTTTTTAGAGCGCGGCTTGAGTGCAATCGGCAATCCCCACTGCTTCCATTTGAGTCGGAACGCAAAGTACTCTTGGTTTACAACACTCCTGTTTAATCAATTTTCAATTATTTTGTTTGCTAAATATTTTGTTAAAAACTTTGACTTTTCTTCTAAAAGATTGGTTAATTTCAGCCCTTAATGTTGTTAATTGACGTAACAGTGATTAAAAAAAAAGGACTAACTCGGCTCCTAATGGTCGCAGGACCTTTTTCTTTTTTTTTTAAGTTGTGTTTTTTAACCAGCTTTCCGAATATTGTATTGCCATTTAATTTAAACTAAATAGTACGGAGTTATTGTAAATGTTTATAAGCTTAAAAAGTGCTATTTATTGTTAAATCATTTTGTGTACATAAACGTAATTTTTTATAACTTTTTTTTCCATAGGATATTAATATATGTCTCAACAAAGAAAATAAGCCCCGGATTTTTTAAATCCATTCAGTCAAATTATCTGGACCGGCCTTAGAAATTTGTGCATTTTTCAAAAAATCTTATAAACAAATTAAATTGTGCAAAAACTATTCGACGGATCTAGCCTATCTTTCGCACACACTTCGAACACGATAAGGTCTTTAAGTTCAGATACATTTAAATAAATTTTATTGGTTAATAAAAGAGTAATTAACAATAATCAAAAACAGTGGTTTTGCTTGGTTATTATGCAATAACTTTTTTGTTTATTAACCTATTTTAATTTAGTATATCTCATTTTGTGTATTTTTGTTTTCTCAACAACTTATCTGTAGACGTCAAATCTCTAAATAGACAAGTTAGGTTATGAGCAAAATAATGATATTGACATTTTAATTGTTTATTTAAAAATATTTCCACTAAAAAATTCATGAATCCCTAGATGAGAGTCTTTTTGTAATATCTCATACTACTTATTTCAACTGTCAAACCCGTCTATACACTTGTGATGAGTAAAAACCTAACTTGATTGGCCTACGTAGACATAGTTTTGGTTTTAATTAATAAAAAAAAACAAGTAGAATCTAAATATATACCAAAAATCTTTTATTTTAAACTTACGTTACAATTTTTCATTTATTGTTGGCTTTTATAGCATTCAGTACAAACCTGGGAAGTATGTTCTCGGCATGTATACTTTTGACACTGTACGCATAGGGTCTTCGTTTTTCTGTTCTATTTCGATGAGCAAAAATGACATCTGCCTGGAACCTCATACTGGCTATGTGGCGTAGATACCTCCTGGATGCCCAACATTTCTTTTATACGACTTCTCATAGTTACTGGTAACATAACCATTTCTCGACGACGTTCAAGTTGCGGTGTAATGAGACTCATTGCTAATGATTTCAAAAAGTTTCGGCGAGTTCTATGAGTATTGTTACTTTTGTCAGCAACGATATGGCTATTTATTCCAGATATATTCAAGGAAGTAAAAAATAATGTTAGAGGCCATCGGCAACTTTTTCGTGACACAGAGTAAGTTCCTTTTAGCTCATCAACGGTATCAACACCTCCCTTTGTTGCATTGTAAAATGTAATCATTGATGGCTTGTATGCATCGCCACTTTCTGGATCAATCTCGTCTTTGTAATGCATTGTTGACAATAATGTAACTATTTTGTTTTGCTTGGGCTTGTAGGATACCAAAGTCATGTCTTGGGTGAAACCAAAAATGCTCGAAGTAACTTTACGCTCCTTTAACTTTGCAGTAAAAATTTCAGGAATTTCTTTTTTATTTTTGTGAATTGTGCCCGTAACAGTTAGTTTGTGTTTTTTTAGTGAATCTAAGGCTAAAGGTATCGACGTAAACCAATTATCCAAAGTTACATTTCTTCCAGTTCCAGAAATTGGTTTAATTAATCGTTGTACGACTGTAGAGGCGCTATTGTCAACTTTATAGGGCCCATCTGGTTGAGTCCCAACATACACCTCTAGATTATAAGTGTAATATGACATGGAATCAACAAGCGCTAATATTTTGATTCCATACTTTGCTGGTTTATTCGGTATATATTGTCGAAATCCACATTTGCCGCGAAATGACTCAAGCATTTCATCAATTGTTACAAATTCACTAAGAGTATAATTGGCTTTTGCATCGCTCAACAGATCCATCAAAAAATTCTCTTATAGGAGATAGCTTATCGTACTGTTTCCGTTCCTCTCTATCATCAAGATCGTCAAAGCGAAGCGCTCGCAACAAAAATTGAAATCGATTAATTCCCATTGTAAGACGAAAAATCTCTACACCGGTTCCGTCTTGTGCCCAAGATCTCTCAAATGTAGGTGTGATGACCGCAAGACTTCAGCAAAATATAGAAGACCAATAAGTGCTTTAATTTCTTCCATATTTGTACTGGTAGCATCTCTTTCTCTACTGTACTTTGTCCGAAGCTTTAGAATATATTTGTTTGTGTGTTCAACTATTTCGCTGATGACGGAGTCTGGAAAAAACAATTGCCAAGCACCAATAATGGGTTTTGCTTCTCTGGCTTTTCCAATTACTCCAGAAGATTGAGTCACTATATTTCTGTTCAGGGTCTTTTTTTTTAAACAGCTACGGGAAATTTATTCCACAAAGTCTTTTTGTCCCTTCCCACAAAACACAGACGAGTATTTAGATCTTGCTGAGTTTCGTTAAAATCTGGTATCTCGTCTCCTTCTGATTGCTCTAAATTGGAGTCGTAATCATTGTTCTCCAAAACGTCATCTTGGTTTTCAGGTGGTCCACCTATCTCATCGTCGCTCTCAATTTCAGCCCACATGGCTAAAATACGCTTTGTTTGTTTCTCGTAAGAACACATAACCTGCAAATAAAAAAATACTATTACAAATCACCATACGTGTGACTATATTTTCCACTAAAATACTAGACTTGAGAAATATTATTAAAAGAACCACACACAGGGTTCACTTACCGTATTATTAACTATAAAAAGCACACCAATATCTAAAACTGTGAAACTGCAACACAAATATCTTTGATACTTATGTACACGCGCGCGGTCAAAAGCACCGACTACACAAATATTAACTATATCTCTCAAAGGCCAAATAAAAACTGAAATAATATAACGCCAGTCGCTAAAGGGAAAACCGCTTGGAGCATTCCAGGAAGGCCAGTACCACCACCACTATACAAGCGGCGTCATTTTAAAATTTATCACAGCTTGGTCCTTTCGACCGACACGCGTGTAGTCCCGGGTTAATTGTCAACTACTTGTACATGAAGTTCATTTAAAGTTATACATGATTAATTAGATCTATGTTCTTTTGCAAAGGAAAATTACTTTAGATTTTGAAGATCAGAATTCTAGTATACTTATATTAACAATTTTTTTTAGGTGGTAGAGGCCATCATCATAATGACACCTTACCCAAACGGACCGGCCGAAATAATAATGGCGACGATTACGAAGATCGAAGTCCAAGAGGTAGTATTGGACCCGAAGAAAGAGAAAGAAGTCCAAGGGGAAGTTTGGCGAGAAATATGTTTGACGATCCTGAGAAAAAGAGTCCTCGGGGAAGTTTGACGCTTACTTTTCAAGAACCACCAGTAACCGAAAGGAGGGCCAGTAGTGATAACGGTAAAGTTTTTTGATTATTGTAGAAAAGAATAAGCTTGATCTGAATTTTATTGTTTATCAATAAATATCAGCTTCGAAGTGTATTACTGTTTATGGGATTCTTTTTATAACTATTTGTTGGATGTGTTTTATTTTTACTCACAACAGGCCGTTAAGGCCTAGGCCATTTTTTACACATAATCCTAATATTAACTAATTACAATAATTTTAAACAAAACTTTAACTTAAATATGTATATACAACATTCTTAACTACTCTGAAGGACCTGGTGGACAATATTTCTCCATTCGCTTCTATTTTGTGCTTTTCTTTTCCAGTCCCTCACCTTCACGTGTTTAAGTCTACCTTTTCTTTTGGGGCCGATTAGTTTTCTGGTTATTACTAGTTTGAGCATTCTGTGTGTTGCCATTGTTTCCACATGTCCCAACCAATCTCAACCAATGTTCCCAACCATCTGATTCTTTGTGACTTGGGAATGAACTTGGGAATGGTAAGTTCTCTGTATAAAGACATTAATTCATTGTTGGTTTTTCTCTCCCAACCATCTTCTGTCTTCCGTCCTCCGAATATACGTCTCGTTATTTTCCTTTCCCATCTTTCCAGAGTATCCTCTTCCTTCTTATTTTATATCTGTCTAATCTATCTAATACTGTTTTGTATATTCTGCGTTTACCTTGTCTAGAAACGTAGTTTGAGTTCAGTAGGGCTCTTAAACTACCTAATTTTTTATTCCCTTTTGCTATTCTGGCTTCGTGCTCCCATTTCTCCTTTCCATTTTTATCGAAAACTACGCCCAAGTATTCAAATTTGTCCACCCTTTTAAAACTATAGCTTTTACCACTTACAGACCTCACACTAAAGTCTTCTTTTTTCCCTTCTATCGCTCCCATGATCACATATTTGGTTTTGTCTTCATTTAGTACCAATCCGAATTTCTGTGTTTCTTCGATGATTTTCTTCACATTTCTTCTTAATTCTTTTTCGGTTTTTGCTAGGATCGTTAAATCGTCAGCAAATGCCAAGCACTTGTGCTCATTTTTCATGATTGTTTCTTCCACCTTCATGTTGCATTTTCTGATTACAGTTTCTAACACTAAGTTGAATAATGTAGTGGATAAAGGTTCTTCCTGTCTCAAGCCTTTTGCAAACCGTAAATTAATCTGATATGTGACCCTGCCAAGCAATTTTACGCTTAGAGCTATTTAATGTCATTTTACTAGCCGGGTCAATTTCTTTGGTATACCCAAATGTTCCATTGCTCGATACATTTTGACTCTATCGACTATATCATATGCTTGTCTAAAAACCACAAACAGAACATGCAGGGGAACTTTACCTTCATAACAAGTCGTTTGTATCTCCTTTATTGAGAAGATTTGGCCTACAGTAGATCTGTCCTTTCTAAAGCCTGCCTGATATTCATGTAGGATTCTTTCCGTGTAGCAATTTAGTTTATTTCTCAATATTTTTGCCAAGATTTTGAATACCGTGTCTAGTAAGGCTATACCTCTATAGTTGTCACACTTCAGTCTGTCTCCTTTTTTATGCAGAGGGCATATGCGGGCCTCATACCACTCCAATGGTATTATTTCCTTTTCCCATACTTGCACTAGTAGCTAATATATTTTTGTTTGTAGTTGTTCTCCACCAAACTTGATCATTTCTATGCATATGTCATTTTTACCAGGACTTCTGTTATTTTTCATTTCTTGTATTGCTGTCACCACCTCCTCCTCTGTAGGCTGCCTTTCAACTATCGTATCTTCTCCAACCGTCCAGTTGTTTACTGCTTCGTGGTCCACCTCACCATTTAATAATTCTTCAAAATGTTTTTTCTATTCCGTCATTATTTCTGCCAGATCGCTAATTAAATTTCCATCTTTACCTTTCATAACTACAGTGGCTTTGGTAACCTTTTCCCATCTTTTTAACTTGTTGATAGAACGACCTCACCTCTTTGTTTTTAAACCTCTCTTCTATCTCTTTTAATTTCAACTCATTGTGGTATCTCTTTTTCCTTCTACATAGAGCTTTTAATCTTCCTCGAATTATTCTATATTCTTGTTTTTTACACTCTGTATTATCTGTTAATATTTGTTGTCTGATCTTCTTCTTTTCCTTTGCTATCGCTTGACACTCTTCGTCAAACCAATCTGAGTCACACTTAAATATTTTCTCGCTAGCTTCTCCTACGACAGATTTAATTTGTTCCCAGGCTTGATCTGTCTTTAAATTTTGGTCACATTGTTGTAGAATTGTATTTGTTTCTTCTTCATATTTATTTTTTATTTCTACTTCCTTAAGTTTTTCAATGTCGTACTTTCTCTTCGTTTTATGGTTCCATTTCTCTTTTTCTTCCAGCCTTCTCCCACATGTGACTTTAACGAGGTAATGGTCCGAGTCGATTTCAGCTCCTCTGATACTTCTTACCTTCTAAACGATATTTATATATTTACTTTTAATTATAACATGATCTATTTGATTCACCTTCCTTCCATCTGGGGAGACCCACGTACCTTTGTATTTGTTGGATGTGTAACATTTGTCAAATGCTGTCATCGCATGCTCTTAGTCGTGGACTAATACGCACCACAATATGTATCGCCCCGCCTGGAAACCTCTTCATTGGTCAATTGACATGTTGGTGATTTTCAAATCTTAGGTAGATAGTCTTGCTTTTGCCTCCACAGAGTCGTCTTTAATCTGGGTGCCTTCTGTTGTTTCTATGCTGTTTTTTTGCTTACTCAGACTCTGGGCTAAGACTTTTCCGCTCTAAAATTGTGTTTTATTTATTCCAAATGAGGGAAAGGAAAATATTTGGATACATGGCAGAGGATTCTTCGACTTGATGTGTCGAAGCAAAGTGCAAAACGTTCAACAAAAGAGAGTATGTCGATGCATTCCTAGACCCTTCTTTCCTTTGGATGACATGTCGCCCTACTACAAATCGATTATTTGACTCAGACTCCCACCGAAGAGCTACGCCGAAGAAGCTGCGCTTGGAGCCCATGCGTCCCCGTTTTGGTAAGGATGTTCTACAAGCTTCACTGTACTCCACAACAGCAGCTAACCTTTACCATCAAGATCTTCTGCGGTTTCTAATGCTGTCTTGTAGCAGATGTTCCGGCGTTTAGAATCTCAAAGTACCCAGATTTACCGCAAAGTCTTCCTGTCCTACAGATATCTATCTCTACGTAGGCTCAGGCATATTCTCCTAAGAAAAAGCCACCTGGCAAATGACTATGGGATCCTGAAAAGAGGACGAATTCATGGAGAAGGTACATGAACCGATTAACATTATGAACTTACTTGCAACCTTATTTTGTACCTTTTTTAATATTAGACGCAGAACGTCACATTTTATGCAGCATTTGACACTAGACGTGACATTTAACGCAGAACTTGACATTTTGTATGACATTTGACACAGAAAGTGGCATAATATGTAATATTCGACGCAGAACGTAACATTTTTTGTAGCATTTGACACAAGATGTGACATTTGACGAAGAACGTGACATTTTGTATAACATTTGACACATAACGTGTCATAATATGTATAATTTGAGACAGAACGTGACATATTATCTAACACGTGTTCTGCGTCAAATGTCACATAATATGCCACGTCATGTGTCAAATGTAACACAAAAGTCACATTTTGCGTCAAATGTCGCGTCTTGTGTCAAATGCCATATAAAATGTCACGTTCTGCGTCTAATTTCACATATGTCATATGACACATAATATGTTACGCGGAAATTAAAAGCCCTGGTTATAGGCTTATTTATCAGTTTTATATACTTACGAGAAAAAAAAACTGCTAAGAATACAAAATAAAGCAGATATGAGGCGCTATCCACAGGAGACTTACTAAAACTTCCTGGACGAAATACCCCAATGAGATTCCAAATCCTATTGACTATTTCTGATGTTCTGACTTATTGGAAAAAGTTTTACTGTGTCCACATTATTACTAACAATGTACTAATTTCAAAGTACACGTCCTTGAGGTATTGGTACAAATGATTCTTGGTACCCTGGGAACAGTTTACAAAAAGAATGAACAGCGACTTCTACCGTACACAAAAACAAATATGAAGATTCATAAAAAACTAACGGAAAGGAATGACAGAATTGAAGGAATCCAGTAACCTACCAGAAAACGAATGGGAAAGATACCTGATGAATATCTGATGTAAACATACTTTAAAGCATTCATACAAGAAGAGAAAATAAGAAGAAGATCATTGGTACAGTAGATATTTAGTCAGTCATTCCGCATGAAGCTGAAGCCTGGACATTAAAATAAAATACCATGACACGGTTAAAAGCCTTTAAAATGTGTGTTTATTGCAAATTAAACGCAGAGAAAATGCAAATGGAGATAATTTACAATGATTAAGACAAGAAAGACATCATACCTAGGTCACAGAATGAGAAATACCAAATATAACCTGCTACGATTATTAATTGAAGGAAAGATACAGAGCCAAAGTGGAGTAGGCAGAAAAGACTTTGCAATATCAGAACTTGGACCGGCATGAACTTTTAACAATTACTAAGAGTATAATTTACTTAGATAAGGGTGAGAAAGTCTTAAGAAAGGCAAATACTGAGAGAGAACTACTTATTTTGATCAAGGTACGAAAAATTGAATTCCTCGGCCATATTCTGAGAAGAAAACAATACGCAATCCCTCAACTAATCATCCAGGGAAATATTGAAGGCAAGAGAGGAGTAGGTCGCAAACAATTGTCGTGGCTACTGAACATAAAGAACTGGACAGGCATAAATAACACTGATGATCTTTTGCATGCCGCAAAAGACAGGCGTCTGGCGGCAATTCGCCAATGCACCATAGGTGCAAGGCACTCACTATAAGAAGAAGAAGAATGGTGCAGAATAGGGAACATTTTGATGTATTGAGTATGTGTTGAGAAAATGTCTCTTATCGCTTATTATATGAGAAAAACTATAACACCTTGGGTGAGTACCGA